TAGGTATAAAACGTACAAAATAATTGGATTACACTTATTTGGGTTTAAAGTAGATTCGCCTTTTGGGGCTAAATTTTGGCCCAAAGACGCTAGACCAGATCTAAATAACTAGACCATATGTTTTTTGTCTAGTTGGGGTGAGGCGAGATGGGGTAGGAGGAGGGATAACATTGAAAAAAGAAATCAAAAGTAACTTTGACTTTAATAAGATAATAAATATTTTGAAACATTTACTTTCAATAAGATGGAGGGAGTATTTGATGGTCCAAAATGGAAAACTATAATATAAATGGACTGAAAAGATTAATTCTTTTAGTATCAATAGTGCAAATTTTTTTAATGAAATTTTAATACGTTTTTGAGACCCAATTTAGTTGTTAAGAAAATTAATTAGGTCATTTTAGGATCTCTAACTCAACTTTCAAACCCTTTCTTTCCCCTTCCCCTTGCAAGGTTGGATTCTCATTTAACCAAAAAAAAGTTAGTACTATTTAAATAATTGTTCTTGCTAATATGAAATAACTTGATTTACTTGATTAAAGTTTTGCACATGATTTTTTTGACGACATAGTGAATTTTTTGAAGATTTAAAATACATGACTTAAACTTGGGCCATCATAGTCCTAGACCAACACTCAACAAACTAAAAGGGCTCAATTTTGGTTTTTTTTTTTTATATCTAATTCAATATGGGCTAGAAGTTTGCTCTTATAATTCGTTCTCAATTTTAACTTCCTAAAGCTGGCTCACAAAGCCCAACTAAAACATCTCTTTATTTGCAAACAAGAAAGTCGTTGATTTGAAAATGAATTAATTTTTTCTATATATTGACACTATATATTACTTGCTGGTTTAGATCTATGTTTATGTCATTTTAATTTAAATTTGAACTCCAAATTTTACACATATGATAGACATTCAAACTAGCTAACCTATATATTATTAATGTAAGAAAGATTAATAATAAAAGGATAATTTCAGAAACCTCCAAGGTTTCGGACAATATCACTGTGCTCCTCCCTCAACTTTTAAAAATATCATAAACCTCCCCTCTCAGTTAATTGGCACCCATTATTGACATCAATAGTGGTAAAATAACTCTTATGCCTTGCCTTTGCTTGAGATATATATTTTGGATCAATTACAAATTGCACCAATATAACTAGGGGTGAATAGCATTTTTCTCCATATTTTCTCCATTTTTAACAATTTATTTATTTATTGGTTTGGTGTTTTTTCAAAATAAATTACTAAATTCTTGGGAAAACATTAATTGTTAATAAAAAGTAAAGTTACAAAAGTTAATTCTAGTAATGTATGATAATAACTAGGAATCACTAATAAAAATAAAAATAAATTATATAATTTTTATACTTTTATTATACGGATTTGTAATAATTATATATTCTTCTTGAAAAAGTCAATTCTAGTAATGTATGATAATAACTAGGTATCACTTATAAAAATAAAAAAAAATTATAAAACTTTTATACTTTTCTTTTTTGAATTGCAATAACTATAGATTCTTCTTGAAAAACAAGAATATATATTTAAAACTGAAGGTGCAACATTGTTACCAAATATTTAACTTCTATCGTTATTGACATTTAATGAACAATATGAGGTTGTTAATTAAAAAAAAGAGAGTTACATACGATTTCTAAATAAATTTTCATTTATGTATTAATTATGGCCATTAAAAATTTTTTAAGGAATAATGTATTTTAGCATGAAAGAAATTCTTAATATGGGCATGAAAGCACATGATGCAATTGCTATGGACTTGTAATTGTAGGGGGTAATTTGAATTAAAGTCAAAAATTAGATTTATAAACAAACTAATGTTGAGGATAGCAGCAAAAGGGCATTTAGGGGATTAAATTATTATCTCTCTTATGAAATTAGTTTTTTTGGTTCACTTGGGCAGACATGTTACAAAATCATATGAATTAGGGGAGGTATATGATATTATTAAAACTTCAAGGGAGGCTAGTCATACTGATAAAAACCTCAGGGGAGGTTTTTGAAATTATCCCTATTGAAAAAAAAAAAAAGGATATGCCCGTATTATCCACTCCACTGGACCTTTCAAGAATTATGTCTGCAACAAATTCCTTTTTTAATTGACACTACTATTTTTATCTTATCCACCTGCCCACCAAAAACTAATCCAGATGGCGTATATGTGTAGCCAAGCCAACAGACAAACTGAAAACAATGTACTACGAATTGACCAATTGTGCAAAAGGGGCAACAAAAAAAAGAAAAGGAAATCAACATTTGTAGGTCGGTCAGGTGACAAAAGTTGAAAATGGATAACATGCAAGAAACAGAACAAATGACAAAATACAAGTAAATGGTGGTCCGTATCTATCTAAAAAACATAATGACAAAAACAAGGAATGTGTTTGCCCTCTAACTTTTCATTGGACATCTTCTTTATTTGACAATACAAACTACTTATATATTTCTTTCAGAACTAATATTTCATGGTGCCCGCCTAGTGCTTTCTTATTGCAAAATGGGAAAAAAATATTCAATTTATAATTTACTAATAACAAATTCTCAACATTAAATAAAGATTTTGACATTGTAAAAAAACATTTAAAAGCTTCGTTGACAAGAAATGGCTCGTCATTGGACATTTATTGTATGTTGAAGTGTGTATTTTAAAAATTTTGTCTCTATGGTTAAAGTAAAAAAAAAATAATATACCCTTTATTTTTTAAATGTCCTTATCCTAAGCCTTAAAGCACTGAGCTACTACGTCCTAATACTTTTGTACTACGTAATGTAGGCAAGAAGATATGCATGTACTACAATAGATTGCTTGTACGTACTTGTTTATGACAAGAATATTCTTGGGAAGATGTCTATTTTTGAGGTTGCTTCTGGACCAGGATGGCCTGTAACCGTCAATTTCAGAGTCCTTTTTCAAAAATTTTTAGGATATGCTCTATCAAAACCGTGTGCCACGGCCAAAGTTCCTAGGATATACCATATAGTGCCACTAGAGTCCACAATTAAAGTCCTTTCATCGTTATCTTGACCTTATCTGCCCACTGCCAACATATACATGGACCTCCACCGTTTTAATTCCACTTAGGATAAGGTGAAAATTGCGCTTTGAACATAGACCCTTTTCTGCTCAGAATTCAGTTTACAAACGAGAGAAGAAAATACAAAGTGGGCTTGAAAGGGGAAAAAGGAGAGAGAACAAAAATGGGTAGCTTAGAAGAAGAGAAGCTGTTTCAAATGGTGCACGATTTTATTGAACCAGAATCAACTTCAGAAAATCCCTCTTATTCCTCTCAAAATCTGTCTCTCAATAATCATCATGCTAAGCAATATATTTTGCAGGTATTTTGTTTTCCCCTTTTTCATTTTAAGTTTCTTGATCATTCATTTTTGTGCATGTGCTAAACACTAAATTCTGTTTTTAGTTGGATCATTTTGTATTTGGTGTAATTCTGAAAGGGTATGAAAATCTTTCTTGATTACAGGAGATTGTTGCGAGTAGAACTGCAGCTGAAGAGGGTCTTCTTGGTTGTGTATTGAAGCACATGAGGCACAAAATCGAAGCAGAGAAAACTACTAGCCTCAAGAAATGGCTTGTGATTAGACTAAGAAAGGATGGTTATCATGGTGTTTGTCTATGTCAAACTTCTTGGCCTACTACTTTAGGCTGCCCTGCTGGTAAGTAATTTTTTTTTAAAATTATTATTTGGTTTACTTTAGAACTTTGCATATTTATTTTTCCATGTTATGAGCATAATCTCTTTTATGTTTAAGTCTCAAGGACCAGAGTGATAAAACACAAAAGATCCAAATTTGTAAGATGGGATGTAGTAAATTAGCATGTAACCTCCAAAAATTTTGATAATTAAAGGGATGACAAGATAAGTCATACTAACATTCTAGGAATCCACCTTCCATCTGCTATTTTTCTGTGAACTTTAATTGCAAAATGATCTAAACTTCTTTTTCTAATGGTAAACAGGTGATTATGAATACATTGAAGTTGTGATTAAAGATAAAAAATGCAGCTCATTGAGGCTGATCTTAGACATTGATTTCAAGTCACAATTTGAATTAGCAAGGCCTACATCATCCTACAAAGAGCTCACAGATACGCTTCCTGCAATCTTTGTTGGTGATGCTCAGAAATTGAACAAGATAATCTCCATCCTTTGCTCAGAAGCTAAGAACTCACTTAAAGAAAGGGGTCTGCATGTTCCTCCATGGAGGACAATCACTTATATGCAGTCCAAATGGTTTAGTAACTGCCAAAGAATAATCCCTTTGAATCCTAGCAGAGAAGTAGGCTTAGGCAATAAAGAAGCAATGGTTGGTGAGCATATTTCATCCAATTTTGACACATTGACAGCATCAGCTTCTAATGGGAAGAAGGAAAACAAGGCAGAGAATTTTGTTGCTAGATCAGGTTTATCTAGTCAATTTGCTGCTATGAGCACAAAATGCTTCTAATAAAGCTTTTTGACAAGATATTGGGTAGATTCTTGATTTTGCAGAGCGGAGAAGAGATTAGCATCCTCCATAGGCAGTACTGTTCTCTTTTGTTTGCTTTGGCCTTTTTTGAGTTTTGACTTCTTGGAACAATTGACAGAGATGAGATGATTTTTTATAGCCTCACAATTTTGTTAGAGTTCTATTTGTAGAAATTAGTGTTCAGGTACTAGAATTAGGGCATGTTACATGGATTCGTTGGGGTACATTAAATTAAAATTACACTAATGGTTCATGATCAATGTAAAATAATAAATTTATAATGAACAAATAATGAACTTCGAATTTGAACAACTGTTTGGCAAGGTGGCATTTACTAAGAAAATTTAAGAGAGACTTTATTAAAAAAATAAAATAAAATAAAATTCATGGGACGAAGACTATGGTATGGTCTCCCTCCCTTTGAAAAATGAAGAAATTAAAAGAGGAATTGGAGGAGGAGAGGGAGAGAGTCCCCGGTCAATTGTTAGACACTATGCTCTTGCGATATTGATATCGTGACTTGAATTTTTCTTGGAAAGTTGGATAATCAATGTTAAGAGTCCATCCAGGTTCTCTTTTTCTTCTGATTTGATCTTCTTCCTCGAATCTTTAATTTTCTGCCTCATGGTTTCGCCTGCACCCCCAAATACAACCTCCTTGATCACTTTTGCTATCTCTTCCCTCTGATGTCTACCATTTTCATCTCTCACAACTTCAATAGCCACACCATTTTCCACCAACACCCTACCAGTAATGGGATGTTCGAAGGCCATAGGCATGGCCATTATTGGGACACCAAATTCTATGCATTCTGATGTAGATGTCCAACCACAGTGGGACAAAAGGCCACCAATACTCGAATGGCCTGAAAATCTTCGCCTGCGGTACCCATCCTTGAACAACTCTCCCTTTATCTTTCACTCTTTCAAGAAAACCCTCTGGTAAGATCTCGTCGAGCCTACGTTCCTCACCTTTTGGAGATCCCAAAGCCCAGGTGAAATTTACATTGCTCAGCTCTAAACCGAAAGCTATCTCTTTTATCTCTTCCTTTGACGAGAAATACATTGTGCCAAAGGAAGCAAAAACAGGTGAATGTTCACTTCTCTGCCCAAGCCAATTCATGAGCTCAATATCGTCGTCACCTGATTCACCAGTGGAATTAAGACTACTGGGAATTAATGGACCAACAGGGACAACTTTCAGGTTCATCGAACTAGCATGATGATCCAAGTATTTCCCTTCCATGGCTCTACAAGTGTTAACCGGTAAAGGAATGGGAGAATCTTCACAAGGGTCCAAAGCATTGCGTCCAACTGCAGTAAGAAGTCTGCGTAACTCGAAATCTCGAAGATAAATGGCTGGAAATGGATATTCGGTGCCAGAGTTGGATGTCAAATGAAATGTGTATGACAAAGATGCAGCGCTAACATTATGGAGCCAAACGGATGGCAAGGTGTACAAAGGACTTACTGAAAACCGAGCGAATGCTTTATCGTAGGTCACCGAGTCTGGCTTGAGAGATTCTACGATGTTGTGTATTTCAGGATTGGACAGTCAGGAAGTTGAAAAAGATGGGAAGGAGATGACTCGGGAGGCCATTGGTTGTGTGGTAGCGGGAAGGAAGTTCAGGCAATTCTTGAAGATGAAATTCCACAAGTTGAATGGATTCTGAGTACTTGCCTGTGATTTTCTTGGAGATGGAATTGAGATTGATAGGTGTAGAACAAAGATAAATGTGAATTCCTCTCTCAGTGAGTTTCTTAGCTAGCTGCAAGAATGGAGATGTGTGACCATGCCCCAACATTGGTAACATGAGAACCCTTGCAGAATTATTGCCAGCATTTTCTGTACTATTCGCCTCCATGAACATGGATTGCGCCCCTTCTGTATGTATGGAGAAATGAGCTCTTCTGGGCTGTGATTAAATAGGGATTATTTTCCCAAATAGAATACAAAAATTGGATGTGGAAAGGGACAGGATCCATTTAAACTGAACAACTTGCGCAGAATTCTGTGGCCTGGTGGCATGGGTAATATTCTTGCTAGGTTGCTACTGAGCAGCATAGGTGGTAACTGAACTATATTTGTCTCGGATTGGAATATTTCTGCTCTCGTTAAATCAATTAGGACATGAATAATAGTAATTAGTATGGGTATTATGGTAGTGTTTTCAATTTTAAATGGCCTGTATTGTCGGAAAAATGCTTACATACACTTGGTCTTTGTTCAATTATGAATTTTTAGTACTGCATTATACAATTTTTGCTATTTTGGTTTTCATGATCTTCACCTTTTTTTTTTTTTTTTTTTTTGTCTGCAATGCAGTACAATCTCTCAACTCCATTAGGTTTATTTTTGCGTTTGATATTAACCTTAAGAGATAAGAAGCTTATTTTGGTCAACGTCATCATTTGATAAATGACAAAATTCGTAGTTGACTTTAACAATAATAAAAAAAAAAAGTATGGAGCAAACAGCCAGCATTTGCCAAATAGATAAGTGATCAGGTTGACAATTATGGAAGAGGGGCAGGAACCGTAGCCGTTCCGAAGGTTCATGGCCAAGATTTGATCACGAAAAAATATATAAGATGCAAATTGTATCTTGTATATCATTTTTCATACCATGCATGGGGTACACAAAAAATTTGTTCTATAATTATACATTATTGAAAGTTGATTACACTGTATGCATATAGAATTATATGCTGTGTATTTTGCACAAAACCTTCAGGAACGGCTGCAACTGTTCCTGCCCCTGTCCAACAATTACAATGATACTTGATGCTAGGAATCTGGCTTCTGAGTAGATAACCTCATTTGGCTGTCGCCACTGAACAAAATATAATAATTCTAGCCATTTTTTTTTGTATTTCAAGCTTGGTCAATTGGCCATAACTTACTTCTCTTCCCATGACACTACAACCAAATATACGAATATCTTGATCTGAGAAGTTAGTCCTTCTGTACCACGAATCCTCTCTCTTGTGACTTTGGTGTGTGTAAGTATATTAGGGAAGTAAAACTAACATTTTATGTACTATTACCATCCATTACCATGGATTCGTGGGAAGCTTATGGTCTGTAATTTAACTATAGAGAAACCAGCTCTTTTGTCTATAATAACCATGACTATACATGTCCAAAACATCACATTAGGGTTATTATCACTTTATCCCCTTAACATTTGGTGTCACTGTCAATTTCCCCCTTAACGTTATCTTTTGGTCACTTTACCCCCAAAACTAACGGTCCAACTTAACGGAATTTGTTAATTAAAGTAAAAAGACATGTTTAACCCTTAAAATTATTATCACTTTACCCCCATAAACTATAGTCTCATTATCAATTTATCCCCTAGAGTCATATTTTAGGCAATTTATCCTACCATTAAACCAACTTAGCAAGTTAAAAAATTTTAGAAGAAAATACCCTCCTCTTTGTATAATAAAAATAATAAAAAATTGTAAAGTGGCTCTTCTCCTTTTTAATATTAAGAAAAAAAGTCAAAGTATTAATATCTTTATTCTTAGCAATCTTATTAATATCAAAAAAGAATAGAAAGATGGAGAGGAGGAGGGGGAGAGGGAGAGAGCTCAATTCTTTTTTAAAAAAATTACAAATAAGAAAGAATTAAATACTTTTATTATTTTAAAATTATTTCACTTTTCTGTTTACTACCAAATTCCAATTCTAATCCCGACAACCTTAATGTAATACGATAATGTTAGACTTTTTTTTTCTTTCTTTGCAAAAGCTAATTTTTTTTCTTCTTCTTTTCTATTTTTTTTTTCTTTTCCTAGTATTAATAAGTGTGAAAAAAAAAGAAATTTGAGAAAATCCTTTTAGTTTTATGTTTTTCAATCTCTTAAAGTTAAAAAAAGAAGAATAACCATTCCAACTTTTTATTTTTAATTATATATAAAAGGGTAAATATGTTTAAAAAATTTTGATCATACTAGTTAGATTAACGATGAAGTAAAATGCCTAAAAAATAATATTAGGAACTAAAGTGATTGTATCACTATAATCTAAACGAATAAATTGATAATAACAATGTAATAATACTATAAAATAAAAGAGTATTATTGTCCAAAATTTCTTAACATGTTAAGTTGAATTACTTGTGGGAATAAAGTGATTAAAAGATAACGTTAGGGGGTAAACTGATAGTAGTGATATAGTTTAAGAGGGTAAAGTGATAATAACCCCATCCCATTATGATGATTACCATATGCTTATAAGTGTTGATAATATTAGTTTTGGTAATTATAGTTCAAATGAGCCATCTCACTATTCCCTGTGTTATCTTAATTTTTGTAGGTGTGTTTTGTATTTAATTATTAACCTAAATCCCTTGAACTAGCACATCATGCCTAGTAGTATAATTTCATCTCCATGAAGAATAGGTGCCCTTTGACATTTAGCTCAGAACAAGTCATCTCATTGTTTTATGTGCCATTTTTGTTATTACTTTTTGATTAGTAATAAATTATTCATTTAACTTCATCAAGCTAGTCCACCAAAGTCTAATACAATTATGGGCCTGTTTGGAACCTGAGTTTTTTGGGAGTTTGTCTAAAACTTTACTGTAGTGCACTGTAGAATTTTTTGAAAAAATTTTGTAGAAGTTTTTGTAAGGTGAAAATTTTTTTTGTAGAAGTTTTTGTAAAGTGAAAAACTTTTTTTTCCTTTTCTTTTTTTTCTTTCTTTTTTCTTTCTTTTTCTTTTTCTTTCTTTCCTTTTTCTTTTTTTTTTCCTCTCTTCTTCTTCTTCTTCCTTTTTTTCTTCTTCTTCTTTCTTTCTTTCCTCCCCGTTACCTCCAGCAGCACCACGCCCCCGCCACCTCTCTCTCTCCCTTTCCCCTTCTCTCCCGCCACCCCCCTGTGCCCCTTCCCCCCCTCTGCCACCATGACGCCCTCCCCCACGGCACCCTTGCCCTTTTCCTCTGCCAGAGCGACCCCCCTCCCCCCGCGCACTCCCTGCCACTCCCCAGCTTCTCCCGCCACCCCGCCCTTTCCCCAGCTTCTCCCGCCACTCCCCCCCCCCCGTTACCCCCTGCCCTTTCCTCTGCCAGAGCAACCCCCTCCCCCGCACCCCTACCTTTTCCCCAGCTTCTCCTGCCACCCCCTGCCCTTTCCCCAGCTTCTCCCGCCACCTCCCCTGCGCGACCTCCTCCCCTGCCACCCCCTGCCCTTTCCCCAGCGCAACCCCCTCCCCCCGCCACCCCGCGGACGGCGCTGAAATAGTCCCGCGGTTTCTGGCAGAAAGCATCGAGGAATTTGCAGAACTGGCAATGCTTCGTCGCGGAGGATTTACTCTTCTGCATCCAGTTGAATAAGGAAACCATCACGTTGAATTTGATGTCCAATTCCTCCATTCTGCACTTTTTTTCCCTTTTTTTTGGCTTTTCTGGGCTATGATTTTGCTTGTTCGGTTCTTGGGGTTTTATGTTCATTTTTTGTGTTTGAAAATGAATGATTTAAAAACTGCCTGAAAGGGGGAGGGGGAAGAGGGCGGGGGAGGCAGAGGGGAGGCAGAGGGGAGGGGGGAGGGAGAGAAAAAAAATTGTGTATTGCCGGAATTGACCGCCGGAATAGTAATCGGCGCCGGAAGTGATGGTGGAGGTGGTGGCCGGCAGCAGACGATGTGGTGGGTTGGGTGGTGGAGTAAAAAGAAGAAAAGTTGAATGGAAAGTTTTTTGTGTATTTTTGAAATGTGTAGGTAAAAAGTTTTGAGAAGTTTTTCGGGGTTCCTGTAGCAAAAGTTGTTAAAAAACTAGTAGGTAAAAAACTTGGTCAAAAAACCCACTTCCAAACAGGCCCTATGTTCTTCTAATAAAGCAGCTAGACTTTTGGCATGTCATGCTTCATCGCTGAGGGGCAATGCAGGATGTCTATGTTATCTTCATTCCCCCCCTCAGTTTCTTTTGTCTGTACTTGATTCTAAGCATGTAATCTGAATCTATTAGGACTTATTTCTGTAATTAATTCGTGTATTAGGATGTAAACCACTTTCTGTATACTAATCATATTTTTCTCCATCTATTCTTCAAAAAAAAAAAGAGTATATTCTTCATGTCCATGACAGAAAAGAACCCTTTATTTGTATACTTTGGGAAGGCTTTTTAATTTTCCCAATTTGTAAGTCTGGGTGGTGATTCTTATCCTTCACAAGGGAGTTGACCTTTATATGAGCTTAATTTTAGGGCTGGGAATTATTACTTTCCATCAATATTTAATGGGACAACATTTTACTTTCATAGGGATCTAATTGAACATTTTAATTTTTGCAAGGATACTTTCACACTTTTTTATGATCTTCGAGGCGGCTGTGCCTAAAACCAAAAACTTCCCAATAACTTACTTAAGTAGTTTCAGGGACCAATGGCTAAGTGGTCAACAAAAAAATAATAATTAAAAAGTTGTCCCGATCGTTAGTTGTATTTCTATATTCATCCACTAGTATTCAACAATCTCGTTTGTTCTTTCATGCTTTAGTTAAATGAATTTCCATTCAAGTTAGCCTTTCAAATTGTCGTCCTTCTTATTTGTCTTTCTCAATAACTAACTTATATAGGCAAGTTACTTTTATGTATGTCCTAATTTGAGTTTCAATCAATTGAATTACGTGTTCAAACAAATTTAACCGATTAAGCTCACCTCTTGTACATATGTTTTGAAGTAAATTTAGTGCGATTGACTTTCCAAATAATAGTGAACCCAAATTCATCCCCATAAATGATGCATACCAACTTGGAATTCAGAATCTAAAGGAGGTATCGAAGACTTAAAGATTCCAGAAATCAAAATTGAAGCTTTAGTTGATAATCAAGTTGCATAAATTACATATTACTATTAATTTT